GGGAGGGAGGGAGGGAGGAAGGAGAGAAGAGAGATGGATGGAAGGCAGGCAGGCAGGCAGGCGGGCTTTTGCTGGAGAATGTGTACCATTTCATGTGTCCCTTCTGGAGAGCCACTTTACAAGCTTGTTGAGTCAAAGAAGGAGACATAAGAGCCTGGGAACATTTTGGTCATTTCCATGTCCAGCTGGTTAGGAAAGGAACCTCTGGACTCTCCCGGTGTCCGGGAATCGTTGGCCTGGGACGCTTAAAGCTCTATGCCCAGAAACTGTGCAGGACCTTGGTTGGGTTCACATAACCTGTAAATGTCTAACCAGCTTAGCAGATGCAGTGGATCTGTTCACAGAACAGGTGATGCCCCAATCAGCCAACCTGAATTGGGTTCCTGATGTATGTGGGAGGAAAAGAGGGTTGGATTAAATAACCATCAAGGTCCCTTCTAACCCTTACGCTGCGTGAATCTGAACCATGGTCTGTCTCAATGTGATGTCCTGATTCTTGCAATCTGCTAAAGGCAGTGGTTGGATTCCCACAACACACCGACTCAACTCCAGTTTAGCCTGGTCTGGCGTATTTTGTGGGTTTTGCTTTGTCAAGTGCAGCTGGAAGAGTTGGAACCACGTGCAGCAGCAGATGGGCTTCGATGCTCGATGTCTGCAGTTGCAGGGAGGAAGAAGGGGACGATGCTCAGAGTGATGGGCGTGGGAGATGGGGAGCCCAGGCTGTCTGCCCTGCAGCAGGTCTTGGGTACTCGGGTGGGCATCAGGAAGGCGGGCGGGCTTGGGAACCGACGGTGGAACCATTTTGAAGAAACTGAGTTTGTTGAACTTGCTTGGAACTGGGAAGCTGTCAGGGCCTGTGGTTTGCCCCAGGGTGATTTCTGCAGAAAGGAAGTCAGGAGTGTTAAAGCGCCAGGCTCACCTTCCTGTTGACTGAAGGCAGCCGATTCCTTTGCACAGACGCCAGCAAGGCAGAAAAAGGGGCCTGCAAGGCGAAGGAGAAAAGCAAGTCTGATGACGTCCCCAAGGAAGGGCAGGAGGTAAGAGCTCCCTGTGCCAAGGACAGGTGTGTCCTCCAATTCCGGGATGTGCTTATAATCAGTGGATTTGGGGAGCTGCGGAACATGCATTTCCCCGGCGATGACGCCTTCCAGGCTTAACCTTCCTATTTCTGCTGACAGCACTGGGTGTGTGCGTGTGCGTGTGCGTGTGCTGAATTGCACCGCTTTGATGGTCCTCCTGGAACAGCTGGCGGCTCTGGTCCTAACGGCCGTCTCCCGTTGCGATTCCCAGGTCCCGGTGCGTGGAAGCGCTGGCTGGGAGAACAGCCTGCGGCAGAAACCGCCTCCCCGTATCGTCTTCCAGGCTGGGCCGACCTCGCAGGAGAAGAAACCCAGAGACGACGTGGAGAGCGTAGAGGGTTTCAAAGAGCGCCACAAAATCAGGGTAGCGTTCTTTTTCCTTTTTCATTATGGAACTAATTACAAAAGGCAAGCCAGCAAAAAAGAATGCAGAAAACTGTAAAAGAAGAAAAACAGCTGAAAAAAAGAAACAGAAACGTATGAGCAGACAAAGTGTATATTTACAGACACGTATATCGATAAATTGAGGCCATGATTCATTACAGTCATCCATGGTCGATTTATATCAGTGTTTCTCAGTCTCGGCAACTTTAAGATGGGTGGACTTCAACTCCCATGGCTGGCTGGGGAATTCTGGGAGTTGAAG